CCCCCCCCCCCCCGCCCCCCCCACACAGCGGGTACAAACGCTTCGTCATCTCCGGCTGTATCCTCTCCTTCCTATCGATGCTCCTCGCCTCCTTCTGTACCCAAATCTGGCAGCTCTTTATAACCCAAGGGGTGATGCCCGCCCTGGGTTGGGGGATGCTACTGCCGTTTGTGTTCACTTACCCTAGTCAGTGGTTTAAGCGTCTTAGGGCTATGGCAACTGGGTTGGTTATCGCTGGAGGTTCACTTGGTGCGTCTTCCCCCCCAACCCCCCCCCCCCCAAAAAAAAGAAACTCGCACTGACCCCAGCTTAGGGGGAGCGATCGCCTCCCTTATAATCCGAGCGATGCTCACCAAGCTCGGGTTCAGGAACACACTCCTAATCTACTCCTTCGTCCATGGATGCGTGATGCTCCTAGGCTGTTGCCTACTCAAGTCCCGCCCGATCCCCGGTGCCCCCACACAGCCGGCTAGGATCGTTTGGCTCGATTGGGACATTTTGAGGAACCCGATGTTTTGGAGTGCGGCGGGGGCGATGTGTTGTACTTGTTTGTAAGTACCGCGTCTTGGCATCTTCTTGTGTTGTGTAACGGACTGATGCGGATGATTGGGACAGCGGCTACCCATCCCCACTCTACTTCATGTCAACCTACGCAGCCTCCAAGCTCCCCCATCTCAGCCCCACATCCCTCTCAATCCCACTAGCGATCAACAACTTCTTCTCCGCTCTCGGCCGGACCCTGGTAGGCAGGCTAGCGGATAGGATAGGAGTGATAAACGCTTTTGTGATTAGTGTTACTCTTAGCGGGTTGAGTCAGCTTTTGATCTGGAGGTGGGTGGAAAGTTATGCGGGGATTATGGGGTTTGCGATCGTTTTTGGTTTTTTTGGCGTAAGTCCCCCCATGCCTTTCCCTTCCCTTGCCTGCCTTGCCTGCCTTTCCCTTGCCTTCCCCGCCCTGCCCACACAGCGCGAACCTAACCCTAAACCCACAGGGCTGCTTCATCTCCCTAGCGACACCCCTCGCAGCCTCCCTCTTCGGAGTGCACAACCTCGCAACTCTATCGGGAATGCTGCTCGTATTTAACCTACCGGGGAATACAGCTGGTGCACCGATCTTTGGCGCGATTTTGCGTGCTGGCGCCGGGGGCACTAGCACTGGGGATGGGGGGGCAGGCGGAGCGGGGGCAGGGGAGAATTGGAATGGAGCGATCGTCTTTAGTGGGATGATACAGCTTGTGGGAGTCTTGTGTATTTGTTATGGTGCGTCCTGCCTCCTCCGTGCGCTCTTGACGCTGTTGATGCGGATGTTGATTTGGTTTGGGTAGCGAGGATCCGAAAGGCGCCGCGGGTGTTTGCTATCGCCTAACAGCTAACAGCTCGCACGTGAAAGAGGTGGCCGCTGGTACTGTAGTGGCATGCTTGTGCCTGCTGCGGACATTGGGTGTGAAAAGCCTATGTCTGCCCGGTGGAATGGATATTCCCAAATTCTCAAATTCCCTTATCGTGAAATTCGCAATACACCCTACGACTACGACTACATACATTGTACACTATACATACCGAATTTGATTGTCCCTCAAGTCCATCCCCACCGCATACATCTAAGCTGATTTGGTAGACCAACTCTTCCCCCCCGGCGGGCTCAGGTCCTCCATCAACACACTCTCATAGCTCCCCTGATTCCTGTTCACCCCAGGAAGTTGGAGCATCCAACTTGGCGGAGGCGGGTACTGATGTCCTACATGTACACCAAGTTCCAACTCGTCCCAGGGCGATTTCAGGGTTGACCCAGGCTCGTCACTGGCAGTCGACGCTCGCGCATAGGTCCAGTCCTTCGGATCGGACCGGGGGAGACTGCCGATCGTGAACCTTTTCACTGGGGTTTGCTCGAGTGCGTGATATGTACATGTGTTCATCGCTAGTGTAGGATTGGTGAGAGGGGGTTGTGTGGGAAGGGGAAGGGACAGCGGGACTTACGTGGGTTACCAGCTTTGACGTGCCGGGATGCTAGGAGCATCCAGAATCCCCACAGGACTCGAGTCGAACGGGTCAGCACCCGTCGCCAGTTTGCCAGAAAAGGAACAGGAACAGAGCAGACTCACCAAGTATGTTAGACAGCGTACCGGACGTGATTGCAAAGAAGAGCGCAGCGGGGTTCTTCAGGAACTGACGGTTACACACGTAGCTCGTGTCGATCAGCGTCCCATTAGCGGGTGGCATAGGCAGTCCGGAAAAAGTCCCATTCTCCCCCAGTCCGGTCAGGACAAGCTCAGCAGCGTACAGCGGTACCTGGACGAACTTGCCCTCCGCGGCGAGGTACCCCGTCGTGTTCACCGCCAGGGGCATCATGGAGAGGTTCTGGAACATGTTGCTTGGCCTGAAGGCGCCTAGATCTGCACGCGCGGCTGCGTGTGTCGCGTGTATGAAATTCCGGATCGGGTTCCAGTAGACGGGGTTGCTGATCGTATAATCCGACAGGTCCCACCCTGCGGGCTCGACGGTAACCGTAAAGTTGTCGAAGCCAACATAGTCGCCAGCGTCAACGGTGAAAATAGGCAGGGCGGAATTGTCTGCCTCCGAACACCATTTTCCTGTACCGACGAAGATTGCAGGACAGTAGCCATCGGTGTATGATCGGAAGTCGAATTTTGTCTCCAGGAGCGTGGGGGCATTCCCCAGGCTGCCGGCGTATTCTGCTTGCATGCCGATGAGCAGATCCCATCCAAGCACATTCGTTGCCATCGATACGTTCAGCTGAGGAGTATAATCGAACGTCGACCCATATGTTGTCAGCCACGGCACTTCATTCACCGACGCTCGGGTGTCGACTTCCGAGGAAGAGATAAGCGTGTTCGCTACCAGTGGGATTGGCATCTCGCAGAGGATGTCGACGCTTGCAGTAACGCGACGTAGGAAGAGGTCAGCATTTATGTGGATATCCATCACGTCGCAATAATCGAGTGGGACGTTCGAGTACGGCATCGCGCTGTGTATCGTTCCGGGCATCGAATTGCCTGCACCGTCAGCTATGAAGGGGGTTAACAGGTTGGCGCAGAATAATACTGAACAGCTTACTTTCGACCAGAACGTTGCTAATCACCCAATTAAAGATCTTGTTTGTTGTTCGAAATTTATCACCGACATGGTATGTGTATGGCTGACATTGCCGATTCGTTGCAGAGGATGGGAGAAGGAAAGACGGTACTACTTTGTCGTACCACTGGGCGCCTATTAGTTTCAGAGCAAGTCTTGGCAAGTTCGGAACATACAAAGGTCTGGGTTGAGTTGAAGTCGGAACTAATTACGGTCAATGTTTGGTAGCCATCTGCAGCGAAGTTGATGGCTGATCGTAGAACCACATAATCAGCCTCGTGTCGTTCATTACAGCTCAGACCAACCGGCTAGTAACCCTCCAATTAAGCCAAACCCTAAGAAGGTGAAAATAGTGAATGCGAGAGAATAGTCTCTTGTTACAGGATATTGCAGTCGTGGGAACCGTACCATCGCAAACCAGTGAATTGAATTGCTTAGCACAGCAGAGATGTGAGAGAAGATGACAGGGAAAGTGATGCGCCCCGCAAGGGTGATGGGAATAATAGAAAGAATGTAACGAGGGAGGCCGGCGACGCAGTCCGCTCCAGGGCAGGGTGCTAGGGTGGCGCTTCCCCCTGTAAAACTTTTCACTGCCACTCTTTGGGCTGTTCATTGTTTGACGTGGTTTTGTTTGTCCTTGCTTCACTGTTGTTTTCTGGGTGTTGTGGATGGACTGCATGTCTGACCCAGCCCGTGTTTCCCTTCTGGTGCCTGATATGGATGCTCCAGACAGACCTTTGCCCCATAACAAGAGGAGAAAGCACAAGAGTGATGTGATGAAATTGTGCAGCTATATGGGTTGGCTTGAGAGGTGCCAGACCAGGGGCTTGGGGGATAATGGTTCATCTTGCTATACTTTGGGTTGCATCTCCTGTATACTCACATGATGGGTAGATGTTCAACTTATTCCCTACTACCCGGACCTGTTCATCAGACATCCTTCCAGCAATGCAGCAGTCTTTCATGGCTACCTTCTTGCACAACCCCCTTCCTATACCCATTCCCTGTGCTCCTGAGACCAGTGATTGGGTGTACAGGATCAATCCAGCCCAGCCTCTACCCAAGGGAGTGACACTAGATTGTCCTCTCTTTTGAGTTCATGATGGTGTTCTGTCTCAGCATCTGGACATCTTGCTCAACCTCACCAAAGACTTCTACTTGAAACTTCCCAAGTCTTACCTAAGACAGGAGGAAGAGTTCAGTTGCTCATCAGTACCAGGACTCCACTTGGGTGTTTGGAGAAGATCCAGCCTGGTGCCTGCCTTTAGCAGAGATTTGGTTAACCAGAATCCTTTGGTGAAGAGGTGGATGGATGTCCTTTTGGAGGTTATGGACATGGTGGTGGGCAAAAGGGCTATGAGGTTGTTGCATAGTCATCAACCTGAGGTATATGAGGAGAGAAAGGGGTTTGTCCTTTGACATGCTTTAGATGGGTTACTCCTAACACTTTAGCAGGATCCTGGACTGAACCTATTCTCACCCAGCATTGGCTGATACTTTGGCTGATAGACCTCAGCTTTGACAATGTGCCTGGTACATGCTGGCCTTCAGAGAGGGCCCTGCCCCTGTGCCCCATATCAATTTGAATGATGGGGGCAATCAGTACAGTATCCTGTTTGTCCTCGGCAACTTCACCACTGCCTATTTGGTCCTCCCTCAGCTAGGGATTCAGATCCCACTTTGTCCAGGCCAGTTGCTGTTTATCAACACCAGGCACTTGGCACATCATGCCACATATTTTTGGGGAACTAGGTATGTGTTTTCTGGCCTTATGGATGCCAATCTTTGCAAAGATTATAGAAAGACAGTAGCTTAGTATAGTGACTAGGTGTTATGGTCCTCTTTGATCATACATGCTACCTATTTTTCCATCACCTCCCTAAGTGTAGACTTTCACATTTTTTGGTCAGTTCTCAGTGATTGATTTGTGATTGCCATGGTGCTAACTTTGGAATGGTTAATAGTAGATATGGTTTGGCATCTCATCAGATGTCTGAAGGTGTCACACATGATTGGTTATTCGGGAGGGTAACATGTGATACTTTGGCATGTCTTGCCTGTTGTGGGGGGTGTTTCATTGTGTGTCCTTCTTTGTGGTGGTACAGATTACTGTCTCTGATGTTTGCCAAAGATGTACCCTGTCTCACAATATGGAGTCAAGTGTTTACTGGCTACTGCATAAAGATGGATGGCAAACTGGAGGAACTCCCTTGCTCTATCCCCTCAATAATCTTTTGCCATGTCAGTTATCTGAACTGCTATTGCAGGTTGCTATGATTGGCATCCATCTGCAGCTGGCTTGTGTACTCTAACCTGCAGTGTAGCCTTACCCATGGCACCTGTAGCTGTGTCAGGGCACCAGCTCATTGCTTGGTCAAGAGACATGACTAAGCCTTTATGGTAGCTGGTATACCTTGGCATGTGCTGGAACCTGCTGGAAGGATTGGATGGTCAGGTGACCTGCTGTGCATGGCTGTGCATGACCTCATATGACCTCATCCTTGGTCATATGACCTGATCACCTGACTAGGCTGAGTAAGCAAGATGTTCTAGCAGGTTCTACCACAGAGGTATAAATATAAGGCCTACTCTGCCTGGGGACTGTCTCTTCAGACTTGGTCTCTTAGGATCATCCACAGGTACCTATACTGTA